CAAGTCATTTTGGATAATGTTAGCAGAATTAAAGTTAAGAAATTATGTAAGAAATCTCAATTTGTCACGCGTAAAAAATTTATTCCTTTTTCTTTTTGTAACATAAAATTGCTTTACTTAATATGAACCATTAAAACCAGTATTCGTATAATCATATCTTTATTAATTAAAAAAAATGCCTAAGTTCTGCTAAAATGTAAAATAAAGAAAGGATCTCAGAAAAAAAAATCAAGGAAGGGAAAGTTCACCATTAATAATATTTAATTCTGATTTATTTAAAAGGGAACAATTCCAGTTTTATAATATGGTAATATGATAGATACGTATAATCATTATTTCTTCAGTTTGAAATTAAGTAAAAGGAAAATATTTAACAAAATGTTACCAAGGCGGTTTTACCTCTCCAGTTTCATCAGTTCATTTATTTGCAAGTTAACTGCTTATGAAATCTCTTATTAATATCTTAGAATAGATTAACGTTTATTATTATGGAAATGTTCTGTAAATTTCTGCACGTTTATGCAAAAGCTGTATAAATATTATAATTTTATAATTATTCTATTATATGAAATTAATTTGCATATAATTAGAAACTGTCTTCTTTCTTGACATGTCACCTGCTTTCGACACAATATGGAGGCATAAATTCATAGAGATCGTCCATAAACATAGTATCAAAGTTAATGCAATTATTTAGAACCTGGCTTCATGAGGAACAAGAAAATTAAATTCAAAGGAACTAATTCCGCAAGCAGGAATACTTGAGTTGCCTTAAAGGCAATAAATAAATGTTATTCAACACTCTCCCCAAGATATTCAGCATCAACTGAAGGAAAATGACAATCTAGATAAGTTCTGCATTCTGGAATGTATGTCTACGCACGTTGGCATTCCTGGACACGAAATCGCAGACAGGCTTGCCAAAGAAGCAAGAGATCTAAACGATGATTGATAATAATAATAAAATTAATCTTCACGATGCAAATACCATCACAAGATATTGGCTTAGAAGAAATGCCATCAAAAACAACTACCATATGTGTGAAATTAATGCAAATTGAGAGCATCAGTAAAACTGTAACTCGACTCAGAACCCAGTACTTCCGGAATATGAAGATAGAAAGACACGGCGCAAAATTCTACGGTCTCTGCAGTAACTTTCACCAAATAGCATTAAGTCCGGATCAAGATTTTACTGTCCTCAATTATAAAATACCTGATTTTTTTTGGAGAAGTTCCTTTTTATCCTAAGCGGCTCTGTTCTGGGAAAATCACTGATATGTGCTTTATCTACATATGATCCTTTGCGATCAGTTTTGGATTACAATGTATACGATACGACCACCACCGCCATTAGTATCAGTAATGTAAATTTATTAAAAAATTAGAATCAAGACTTTAATGTACGAATGCAATGAAACTTCCCGAAGATGAAAATTCGTGGTTTTCGACAATTTTGGTAGTTAGTGGAAGTGATCATTCTATGTAACGTAACTATCAGTATTGTTCAATACCGTTACTTATGTATTTGAAATATTGTTCACTTTCATGTATAGGATTTTAGACAGGTGGTCACCGTAGTACATTAATACATAAAACAACATATAAAAATTTGTATTTGGCATTGCAAACCATAACATTTTCTTATAATGAATATAAATTTGAACCGCGATTTGAAGAATATATAGTGGTCCGTCCATGCAGCGTGATACTACCATAAAACCGTTTTAAATTACTTTATTATTTCTATAACTCCTCTTCTGTATAGCTATCATGAACTTATACAACGGCTATCTATGTTTGAATAAATGTGTTAAATGAATTATACAGTGTCGCTCTTTTTTGGTAGCATAAACTAAGGAGTTCTAAAAGACTGTATTAGGAATTATCCACAGATCTTTAGTACAACAGAAAAGTATGAAGATGGGTCTAAAGAATCCTTTATTCAATGAATATAGTTGTACATATAGCCCCACTTGGGCTTAAATAAGGGCAAACGTTTCTTGCTTAACAAACAGGTAAAGTTGAGATTAAAATAAAATATATTAAATTTAGCCTAACGGCATTCAACGCCACAGAATCAAATTGCTAATAATTCAAAATAGGAACGTAGCATTGAAGCAGGTATAACACGGTCTAACATCACCTTCCAAGAATTTTCCATAAATAACACTGTATTTCTAACTCATTTGAATACACGCGCTCTAGCTGATTTGCATTCTGGGAGGAAAGCGTTGGTGAAAACGAAACTGGTATGGAAAGTTGCTTTAACAAAAAATTAAATGTTAGTCAAATTACATGAATCCCTACAAAAAATTATTATAATATCCATTTTTGGAATAACCAAGAACCCTTTTTTGTAGTCCAAAGGTGCTCTGTCCCTGAAGGACTATTGTTTTCGTTTTGCGATTTTGCGTTGGTTCACTATAAATGTCCGTTTCACTTTTCAAACTGTTGCCACCAAATATTAGAGTCCTGCATTTTATTTAAAGAAATTAAACAATGAAAAAAAAATCTGCATATATGTATGTATATTTCTCGCATTGTGATAAAACAACGGTACATAGAGTCATCGAATTTTGAATGACGTAATCCTACTGCGAATATAGGCATGTGGAAGTCCAAATTTGAAACTTGGAATTTGTTTTATTATCGATTTCATATTTTGTAAATCTTTAATGAATTTTTGATTAATAAACTCAAGGATTTTAAAGAGAGCAATGGCAACGTTGTACAGAAAAAAAAAAAAATATCTCCAGCGCGCGAGAGTGCGTATCGGATATTCTAAAGATATGCTCAGTTTAAAACTATTTTGCGATATTGGTCTTGGACTGAATTGTATGGTTTAAGTGCGAAGAACGTGATATTTAATAAATAAAGGTAACAGACAAAATGTTAAGAAAACACCTCTTTGGACGTAATTTAAAATCTAAAACCTTTCAGATTTTTTTAAAATTATTTTAATGTGTTTTAATTTTCTGCATGCATTTTTCCTATAAATTGGCATGTTAAATTGGAATTTAATTAAAACTATATATTTTATTACTAGACAGCTGCCACGACTTACCTGTACAAACAAGCTGCAGCCAAACAGCAGAACAGCAAGTTGACACCACCTAGCTCCCATCTTTGCTTTAGTCTTGGAATTGCATTCAGCAATTTTTTTACTCGGTCAGTTTCGCTGCCTATGCACAGCAGGCAAACAAATCTTTAACTCTTCCGACTGTTTACTGAAGGAATCTCTTTTTTTACCACCTTTTTACCACCTCATGTTCTTTGACGCGAAATTTTAAGGCTCTCTTAGTTTGGCCAATGTAAATTAAACCGCACTGGCAAGGAATCCTATAAATACCCCAGGAATTCATATCCGGAATGGGGTCCTTGAGTATAGTATATCCTTTTTTCTGCTGCCAAAATTATTCAAAAAACATCTTCCATTGGAGAACTGGATTTTCTAGAGGCATTTCACATTCATAAAAATCTTTCTGTTCTAGTTAACGATCCTAATTCCAATCCAAATTTGCCTTCGGCTTTTAGAGAAATTATGTTTTAGTTCTGGTTTCGCCAACAGATGGCGCCACTTGCTTATTCTTGTCCAGGCTTTCTTATCTTATCTGAACATTATTTCCTATCTTGTTCATTTGCGGTTTTGCAGCTGAAGATGCTGGTTCGGTAAAACCCTCGAAACTAGTCCTGTGAAAATTTTGTAAATTAACGCTGATTTTTGTTGTTTGACTTCTGAATTAGTAATACCATATATTTTGATAGTCTAAATTTGATAGTATACCATATAGCTGAGCGAGTATTTTCTACATCACGAAACATTTATTACCAGTACTCTCTTAAAAAAAGAGATTTATACTCTCGCGTTGGGTGACTTGAATACTTTGTAGTCGATTTTTAACCTAATAATCTATATTTATTGCAAGTCCACATAAATATTATAAGTTTACAAACCAAAGCATTCTTTCTTTTTGTACAGACAGATTTGAAGCAACGGATAAGACCTCAGCTAATTTATATGCTAATGTCGGTTTAATTTCTAAAATATAAGAAAGCTTATGACCTCTTAAAGATTAAACTAAATTTATTATTGTAAAAGCATAAATAATAAAAATTAATATAAATAAAAAGCCTATTATTTCCTATGCAAAATAAGTGAAATATGTTTTCTTTTCTTTTTGATCATGAAGGTTAATATGCATTTTTCCTATATAAACATGTCTGTATATGAACATTCTGTGTATGAGTATTCTTTATATGGACATTATCATCGTAAATATCTCTCGCAAAATATTCTTTGCGCGCAGCTTCAGAGTCTTAGCTGTAGGCTAAGGTAAAGAGACTATAAGTAAATATTAATAATGTTTAACCTCTTAAGCACATTCTTGAATTCAATTTTATAGACAAGAAGAACCCGCTTTTATTTGATCAAGCCGTCGAGAAGCGTTTTTATTGGGCGTACGAAGATTAATAGGACCACATAATTATCATGGGATTTCGACTGCCGTCATAGCAAGATCATTTCCATAAGCACAGCATTCGGACACGGTAAATCATAAAATATACATAATCCATCTTTTCCTCTCATGTTTCAGTCGCCGGATGCCTTTTCAATATGCGACCAATGAAGTTTTGTAGTTCCATTACGCTAGTGCTAATATTAAAGCTATCAATTAGATTAAGTGCAAATAAAATATAACTAGAGGAATTACGTAGTTTAGAAAATAAAAAATGAACATAAAAAGTTAAACTAAAAAGGAATAAAAATATGAAAAGATTATTACATGTATAGGTTCACGAGGTTACATATCATGTTTAATTACGGAAGACATTTATGTGCAAGAGTAATCTGTTAACAAAGTCACATTTTTATTTACTATAGAAATAGGATACTTGAAAGAGATTTTAATGTTGCAAAGACCTCGATAAATTGGCATGTTAAATGGGAATTTAATTAAAACTATATATTTTATTACTAGACAGCTGCCACGACTTACCTGTACAAACAAGCTGCAGCCGAACAGCAGAACAGCAAGTTGACACCACCTAGCTCCCATCTTTGCTTTAGTCTTGGAATTGCATTCAGCAATTTTTTTACTCGGTCAGTTTCGCTGCCTATGCACAGCAGGCAAACAAATCTTTAACTCTTCCGACTGTTTACTGAAGGAATCTCTTTTTTTACCACCTTCCTTCTTCTGTCTTTCAGTTTTCTGGCCTTTTATGAAGCAGCCTAAAACTCCTATGCGACTGCAAACACTATAACGAAAGAAAAATGGAAAAAAAAAATATTTAAAATGCTTTTGTTTATTCTTATGCAACAGAAGCGGACATTTAAACAACTAGCAAAAGTAGAAAAAAATAATAATACGCAGAGAATTGGATTCAGGTAGGCTATAAGAGTTAAACTGGAACGAGTCATTTTTCCTCAAATAGAAAATGCATCGTGAAATGGAAATTTTTAATAATATTTACTTACTGAAACGCTTTAGATGTGTTATATGGACAGCCATGAATTAATTTCCAGCAGGGAAAACATATATTAATATAAACATATGTTTCCACCGCTAGAAATTAATTAATTTTCAAAATGGTAATATGATTACAGACATTTTAAAGATATTATTTGAAATTTATTTTAATTGATTATTACCATTAATGATAGTCTTGGTTTAAAACGGGAGTGATGTCAGATTGTACTGAACATTACATAAACACCAAAACCTACTTTTAATAATAATAAGTCAATATTAAACATAATTAAATGAAAAAGCTGATAATTCTTAAATTTTCCAAACTTGAAAAACACACGTTTTACTAAACGAAGGCATACTGAGTTTATGGGCAAATTATTAAATGCATAATATAATTAATGGTTAAGAAAAGCGCAATAAATACTATATTACTAATAAGCAGTATAAACTAAACATTATGTTCTGTGAGTAAAATTGTCGGTTATAGATAGAATTTTAGATAGTATATGTTAGAAATGCCAAAGCTTACGATAGTCAATAATAAAAATCAAACTTTAGAGTGTAATTAAACTACTACAGCCAGGATCAGCGTATTCTGTAATCTACGTTACGGATTTGTACATAATCCATCAAGCAGCGATGCTGGGTATTATCCAACATCATACAAACCTAAAATTGAATATTCCAACTTGTCTAAATTTGATAGTATACCATATATTTTGATAGTATACTAATACCATATAATTAAGACACAATAACACGCCGAATAAATACTAATTCAGAAGTCAAACAACAAAAATCAGCGTTAATTTACAAAATTTTCACAGGACTAGTTTCGATGGTTTTACCGAACCATCATCTTCAGCTGCAAAACCGCAAATGAACAAGATAGGAAATAATGTTCAGATAAGATAAGAAAGCCTGGACAAGAATAAGCAAGTGGCGCCATCTGTTGGCGAAACCGGAACTAAAACATAATTTCTCTAAAAGCCGAAGGCAAATTTGGATTGGAATTAGGATCGTTAACTAGAACAGAAAGATTTTTATGAATGTGAAATGCCTCTAGAAAATCCAGTTCTCCAATGGAAGATGTTTTTTGAATAATTTTGGCAGCAGAAAAGCAAAAGTGTGATTTTCGGACCAACAATGTTGAGCAACAGAAGACTTCTGTGTTTCCTTTTTTCTAACATATGCCTCATGTTCTTTGACGCGAAATTTTAAGGCTCTCTTAGTTTGGCCAATGTAAATTAAACCGCACTGGCAAGGAATCCTATAAATACCCCAGGAATTCATATCCGGAATGGGGTCCTTAAGTATAGTATATCCTTTTTTCTGCTGCCAAAATTATTCAAAAAACATCTTCCATTGGAGAACTGGATTTTCTAGAGGCATTTCACATTCATAAAAATCTTTCTGTTCTAGTTAACGATCCTAATTCCAATCCAAATTTGCCTTCGGCTTTTAGAGAAATTATGTTTTAGTTCTGGTTTCGCCAACAGATGGCGCCACTTGCTTATTCTTGTCCAGGCTTTCTTATCTTATCTGAACATTATTTCCTATCTTGTTCATTTGCGGTTTTGCAGCTGAAGTTGCTGGTTCGGTAAAACCCTCGAAACTAGTCCTGTGAAAATTTTGTAAATTAACGCTGATTTTTGTTGTTTGACTTCTGAATTAGTAATACCATATATTTTGATAGTCTAAATTTGATAGTATACCATATAGCTGAGCGAGTATTTTCTACATCACGAAACATTTATTACCAGTACTCTCTTAAAAAAAGAGATTTATACTCTCGCGTTGGGTGACTTGAATACTTTGTAGTCGATTTTTAACCTAATAATCTATATTTATTGCAAGTCCACATAAATATTATAAGTTTACAAACCAAAGCATTCTTTCTTTTTGTACAGACAGATTTGAAGCAACGGATAAGACCTCAGCTAATTTATATGCTAATGTCGGTTTTAATTTCTAAAATATAAGAAAGCTTATGACCTCTTAAAGATTAAACTAAATTTATTATTGTAAAAGCATAAATAATAAAATTTAATATAAATAAAAAGCCTATTATTTCCTATGCAAAATAAGTGAAATATGTTTTCTTTTCTTTTTGATCATGAAGGTTAATATGCTCGATAATTAATTTCAGTAAAGCTCAAGATGGTCCTTAATAGTCATGTTAACTTGAAACTAGCTCCAGTTAACTTAAGACTAGATCCACCGTTTCGTGGATTTAACTGCACTTATATTGATCGGGTTGAAAAAGCGTAATATATTTATTAATAGACTGATATATAAATTTCTACAGAAATAATACTTGTGTTTAAAAATATGCTCCTCTAATTTAAATTGCCTTTTAAGTTACGGTATTTATTTATTTTAGCAGATTCAGGATAATTATTATACAAGAACAGTAGTGAAAGATTGTCTATTTTAAAAAGAATATGTGACTATTAGTTCAATTTACTAAAAATTGATCGATCAGCTTATAAACTCGTATCTTCACTCTTGCATACTAATATTTTGTACATTGCGTTTTATCTATCCATGTACAAAATAAAACAGCATCAGTAGAATCTTTACGTTTTATAAAATTAGCACAGGAACATTGCACAAAATTACATATGCATATTTATATTTGGAAAAGATTGCTAAAATCTATATTTCTTTCATTTTTTAACCTCAGCCTGTACTTTAAACTACAAAATTCCTCAAAATGAAGTACAGAGTTTGTATGAGAATACTGTCAACACTATGGAAACGATGTCAACCTAAATCCAACTTTTATACGGTTACATAAAATAAAACCGCGAATTTGTAAAATATTTACTATGTTTTCGTAAATTAAATACAAAATATTCCATGTACACATATCTCAAGTACGAAATTTTTGGAGTTTTTCAGGCCGAATATATCGGCATAGATAATGTTACAATGTTTATTAACCTTTTTCAAGTTTAACATTTTTTGCCAAGATTTTGTTAGTAAATACAAAGCAAAAGTTACTTGGTTTGGCGGTTAACAGTTCTACAGTAAATAAAAGAGTACTCCTTCTTAAACTTAAGGCTCGCCTATTGAGAAACGGATTACTCATATCTCTCAGAATTCTTCATATAAATAATTAAATTTCTAATTTAACATACAAACATTTTCTTAAATAAAATTTTGCTCTGTGAACAAGAGATGAAAAGTTAAATTTTGTAACTACTGTTTATCTTAGTGTTGAAATTGCTTTAATAGCATTGGTTACTTTATTTTGAATTAGAAGAGTGCATGTCTAGGACCAATAGTTTAGAAATAAAAGTGAAATTTTTGCACACAATGATATTTTTGTTTGAAAATTTCAGTAATGTAGCTTGCTGGCATTGGCTTCAAATAGGTTTAGAAAGCACACTGTAAGATTAAATTCGCATTTAAGAGTTAAATGTAATGCTCCAGTATACTTTCATTTAAGTAGAGTACGGCCAGTACAATTTTAGTATAGATATATTTAACACAAGAGAAAGAATATGGAATTACTTATGACAAATATCATTTACAGTCATATAAAAAATTCAAAATTTGTTTCAAATTAACCCAAGAAAACTTCTAAAATAACACCGATTCCTTCTTTTTTAACTGAAAGTTAATGTACAGTCATTTCTTTACATAAAAAATTAATAAACTGAAGTCTGTTTAATCAACCTTTTTACACTAGAACCAAATTTTTCCCAGATGTTTTTGATGTCCTCACGTGATTTACATTTACAGAGATTCATAAATAATTCAAATAATTCACAAAAATATAACATTTTGCGAAAATATTTGAAACATTCTCCACACGAATTGTTTGCGCAGAATACAAGAATATACATGAAACTAATGCTTGAAAAAATGAGATTTAAATTAATTTACAAAAAATCTAAATTAAATCTAATTTACAAAAAAATAGATTTAAACTGCTGGCCTATGCATAACCGAATAAAACAATATCCTTTCTTTTTTATAATAAAAGCAAATCAAATAACATATAAGAGGAGCTAGCATGTAAAATCAGTGGGCTCCAATGTGGGAGGTAAAGTTCTCTTAACATTGTTCTATCATAAAAATTATAATCTTCCTATATTGTTTAAAATTAAATCTCGTGAATTATTTTGTCACATTTGTTACGTGCATGTCCTTCACATTATTCTTTTTCATATATTCACAGAATATTCTTTTTCATAGTACCTTCAGAGTTACATGGGAAATAATACTACGCAAAACAAAAAAGTCAAAGGAATCATTTTCCTAAAGTACTATGCTTATATTATATTCCGCTTTATGTTTCTGAAAATAGGGAAGTATAACCTCCCGAAAATAAGGAATGCTTTACATAAATTTGTACGAATAACAATCTCTGCCGTTTTTGTGATCAAAATAAAAAAAAAAAAAAAAAAAAAAAAAAATCTGAAATGTTTCAGATTTTAAATTACGTCCAAAGGGGCGTTTTTTAACATTTTGTGTGTTACCTTTCTTTATTAAATATCATGTTCCTCGCACTTAAACCATAAGATCCAGTGCAACAGCAATATCGCAAAATAGTTTTAAAACGAGCATATCTTTAGAATTTCCGATACAGAGACTCATGGTAAAAAAGGTGTAAACTTTGTATACAGATGAGGGGGGATCATATACTCTATTAATGTCCTTTTTTTCCATTTTATGCTGTTTATTTTCACTTTATACATAATTTTGTTTAAGTCTCCATTATGTCATTATCTGATAACTTACAAAAATTTAATATTGTTTTAATTTCTGTATATA